GAACCCGCGACCCACAGATTGCGAGTCGAGTGCCCTAACCACCTGGCCATTTATGTTATGTACCACAGAAATAATAGAATGGCCAAAAATATTAAGTTTGTGAATTCAAAATTCAAGGTATTTTTATTGGTAACACAGAACGCATAATTATTTATATAGGGCATTAGGGCTACCAATGTTCACTCATTTCGACATGATTTACACAAGAACAGCACAGAAATCTCGATATTATTGATTTATTGAATATTCTAAGTATTTTATTTAAAGCTAAAACGTTGAGTTCAACGTGTTCACTAACTTGTCTGATAGTTTTGATAAAATATAAAGTCCAACATGTGTATTTCCACCTCAAGTGTCCTTCTTAATCATCTCAACCCCAACCTTTTCTACCCATTCAACAATTATCATCTTTCAAGGAATTCAACACTTAGCTTCATTCCCTGGGAGTTGAAAAGTGCTATTTATCGGCGGAAACAAATTCCGTAGAGATAATAAGAACAGCAGTTCATCTTTATGTGCAGCCACGTGTTTTTGTTTTTTGTTTTGTTTTTTTCCTCTATCGCACCGCTCTTTATTTTTCCTGTGGTTTTGTCGAGTTGGGTAATTACTGTACCACTAGTTAAAGATCTTCGGGCAGTTGTCATTTTCTCCTCTCCCGAGGTACATACTCCTCCCAAACCTCCTCCCCTCTCCCGAGGTTCATACTCCTCTCACACCTCCTCTACTGGTTTCACAGAGTCTGCTTGTTTCACGTTCTGTCCACATTTCAAGAGTTTCGGGAGGGAGAAAATTAGAGGTTGTTGTAAAAACTAGTGTGAAACCACTGAACCGTTGCGAAACTTCGGATGTTTTAGATACTGGCCTGAAGTAAAATACCACGTGTTCAGTTGTTGTTACTTGTCTAGAAGAGTCACAGTGAGTCAGATATCTAATCTTGGAATGTTTGTTTTTGTTCTTTTGTCGATCGAATGTAAAGAAAAACAAGCAGTGTGTTTAGATTCCGAGAGATAACATTCTAAGTTGAATATGTTTGCTCATAATACTATATAAAATATTCATTAAACAAAAATTTGTATGTTAACTTTAATTTCCTAAAGCTGTTTTTGAGAAGTCGATAAACTTATATAAAACCTATTAAATTCACTTTCAGAGGAGCTTCTTATTACTTCTTAGTTACCAAAAGCTTTGAACTTTATTCACAAGCTCTTAATTAGCCAAATGATTTGTTAAAATAAACGTGTAACTCATTGTTCTCCTTCATGGAAACTATAATTTATTGAACTTTCCCCACTTTCAAAATGACACTCAAAACTCATACAGGAAGTCGCTGAAAATTGTTAGTGAAATTATCGTCCTTAATGGATTTCGCCTTGTTATCTGACGAAATAAAATTCTACCAACAGGAAGAAAGACTTGTAATTACTGACTAGACGGCCGACAGATGATTAAAGAACGTACATCTCCAACCTGAGTACTTTGTTGCGTGAATGGCGATTTATCTTTCCATAACTTGAACTTTGAGATAAATACAAATGACGCTAATATAAACAAAGTAGATTGTCTATAAATTTGTGGTGTATTAAATTAATAACTTTTTTGTACGTCATATGACTCGGCTTATAAGCTTTTATTTTTTTTTACACATTTGCAATGTACATCTAATTGCGCGTAACTACAAACTCTGACTTTTTACATACATATCAATTATGAAACATTTGTCGTAACCACTTCTGGGAATATAATTCTAGATAATTATTAATTATTGAAAATATTTTAATCATGCCTATGTAACTTATGATGCTCAAACTATCACGCGCTTATTCCCATCCTTTCAAATAATAATTATAGTATTTAGAAAGATTGAACTGTCATCACCGGGTAAAATATATTCTCAAGTACCTTTCTGCCAGCGAATGACATCTTTTTCTTTGTACAATAGTTGCTATGAAAAGTGCAATAGAATAAGCTTCAGATTGTTCACATTGCATGTGTGTTATTTCACGTTTCGTCCCACACCTAATGTGTAATATTCGCAGCATAACTTCGTTTTGACTTATTTCAGATTCACCAGCGAGAAGTATCATCCCGTCAACTCCCCTTCATCTTTTTCATCCGAAATAAAAACTTAAAACATATTAGTGACTACTAGACCACCCGTGACCCGTTGGGTCACCCACTATTCAGAGGTTATGAAGAATTCAAGCTAATTTCAATATTGCACCGAAATGAAGGTTTATTTTGAGATAATTTACTTAAATATTTCAATCCACTCGTGTTATTCATAATTCAAGAAAAGATATTTGATTGTTGATCGGTCAGAGTTTTCAGATATTGTGATAAATTAGTTCATTACGTTGTGGTCGTTTCTCTTAAACCTTCTACAAATAAGAAAGAGTAACACTTTATTTTGTCTTCGAATTACCTATCATAACCAAGTCACATTATTGAGAAATTCTTCAAGATCTTGTTTCTGTCATTTTACGCCTTTTAATGAAGATGGGAACATTGACAGAGAAATAGATTTGAACGAAGAAGTTTCATAAAGAGCGCGAACGGTAGTGTGATGTAAAATTACTCATGCTAGAAATTTTCATAAAAGTGACTCGAAAAACGGCGCTAACTCGGTAACCCGAGGCCCGATGAAGTTTCGTAAAGAGCACGAACGGTAGTGTGATGTAAAATTATTTGTGCTAGAAATTTTCATAAAAGTAACCCGTGGCCCAATTTTAACGAAACTTGTTTTATTCTGTTTCTATTCTCATTTCATTACAAATATGGCGATATTGTGCGCCGTTTTTGCTATATTTAATTACAGACAAGCAAACAAACAAATAAACAAACAATCTCATAGTTTTAGTAGTATATATAGATAGCTGATTTGTTGTGCGTAAAACTTGTCTACTTTTAGCCGCGGCCTATCGGCTCATAGACTCTGATTTTTTTATTTTTTTTAAGTACAAACTTTTAGCTCATAGTTCTGTCATCTCTTGACTGATTTGAGAAATAATTACAGTTTTGGACTCAGAAGGTCAAACCATTCAACTGATTTATTTAACCACGCCATAGATCTTACACATCAATTTACTCTACTCCTGCATAAAATAACTTCAATTTGAGGGTAGGCTGGTAGAGATCCGGATGAGTAATAAGTTTGTTTTTGTTTGTTTGTTTTTCAATTTCGCGCAAAGCTACACGAAGGCTATCTGCGCTAGCCGTCCCTAATTTAGCAGCGTAAGACTAGAGGGAAGGCAGCTAGTCATCACCACCCACCGCCAATTCTTGGGCTACTATCTTACCAACGAATAGTGGGATTGACCGTAACATTATAACGCCCCCACGGCTGAAAGGGCGAGCATGTTTGGTGGAACGGGGATTCGAACCCGCGACCCTCAGATTGCGAGTCGAGCGCCCTAACCACCTGGCCATGCCGAGCCGAAACAAAGGTTATAAACCTATATACACACATGGCGACAGATATGAAGAAACATGTGATCTTAGCAATACTTCTTCCCATGCTATTCACTTATGCCTTTGAACATATCTGCTTTAGTCTTAACAGACCCTCGTTCGCCACTTGAAATTATCTGTTTGTTTGTTATTAAGCACAAAGTTACACAATGAACTATCTGTGCTATGCCCACCGCGGATATTGAAACTCGATTTTTAGCGTTATAATCCCTCAGACTGAATCATCGTGGGAAAAATCACGGAGCAAATTCGTTATTTTGTAAGTTAATATCACTTCGCCTCATGAGCAGCAGCGTTTACTGAAAGTCGGTATGTTATTGAGTGTTTCTTCATGTAGAAGTATTTGTAATTTAAGATCATTCATTCACGTGCTAAGACAAACAATAATAATTTACCAACTTACTAGGTTCACGCTCAGTTTCGTTAGTAAAGTTTCAAACAACTTTTTATTTTCAAAAAACTATTTAAAAAAGAGACGTAAGCGTATTTACATTATAGATGTGAAAGTCTTAAGATAAGCGCTCTACTTCAGAACACACAGCAGTAAGACTGATATTGCGTTTGTGGTTTTTAGTAATGAGTTTCAACAGGTTTTTGTTTCTAACATTATAGTTCGGGTATGTGGTAATTCAACCGTTTTTTTTAAAAGCATTTTCAAGGTGACGCTGAGCCATTTTGCTTTCAGCAGAAGAATTGTCCTTGTGTATATATATATATTTCCAGTGAGCATGTGCAGTCCGACTTGTAATCTCCGGAGAAGAGAACGCGCAATTCGCGTGTGTGCCTTCTGCCAATCGTGTAAACACGCACAGACCAAGCGCTTGACATCACTCCACCTTGAGCAGCCGTCTGAGACAGTCTTTTGTAGCGTTTTCTCGAACTGTTAGCTTGTGCATAGAGCGCGTGCCGCGTGGCGCGTGGCACGTATAGCAGATACGATCTTGCTTGAGTGTTTAATAAGTACCTCAAGTCCTAACAAAAAATAGTTCTCCGCCAGCGAGTTTTAATCTAATGTAAGTTTTTCTTTTTTCTTCTTCTTGTTATTTAGTTTTAATTTTTGTATTTAAGCACGAAAATGTTTCAATATTAAAAGCTTTTTGAGGGTGTTTGTAAAGTAATTCAAAGTTAATGTTTCTTTTAAGGTCAGTATTGCATTTCTTAATATCACGATTTTTTTTGTAAAATATTTCTATTTCGTAATATAGAAAACAACATACAAGAATACAACAGGAAGCGTGAACATTGCCTTCTTAACTAGTAAGGTTATATATTATCACATTGCAACTTAAACCATCAACAAGACTAAGGTAACCTGAGTGATAGAATTAGCGCAAAACAATCTGAAACTTTTTTCGTTTTGTAAGAACAAATATTCCTAAATGTTATTAGCAATTGATAATGTCATGAACGTACAAGGCCTGGCGTAGTTTATTTTTTAGCGTCCTTGGACTGTGAATCTGAGAATTCTGAGTTCGCAACCCATTGCCGCAAAAGCATTGCACGTTGGGGCCATGAATGCGCTTTAAGAGTGGCAATGAATGAAATCGCACTATTCGATCAGACAAGAGTAGCCGAAGAGTTTGCGGTGGGTGCGCTTGGCAAGCTGCTTTCCCTTTAGCCCACAAGTTAAAACTTAAGGACTGCTGTGCGCGAATAGTCCTTATGTACCTTTGTGCGGAATTTTAAAAGAAACAAGCAGACGATAAACACACACACATTTGTTATAGTGACAAGGGTTATACACTGCAAGATTGCTGTTCTAGAATTTAGAAAATTCTAATTAAGTCATTTAGTTCTACGACTTATCACCTTATTATGTGTTTCTGTTGGTAAAATTTAAAGCGCCTAAAGGATATGTCAGAGATTCGTAATGTGCGTGTTGTACTAACATAAAACTATGTTTCGAAATTAACCAAGCTGTAACTTTATTTGTCTCTTCTATTCACAGCACCTGCTTATTGACAGGTATCTTTTGTCAGAGCAATAAAAGAGTAGGTGTGAATTAAGCACGTTATGCACATTGTGAGGGTAAGATAGAGTTTAAAAATTTACACGGATTGTTTTAAGAGGTAAAGAATATGCTAGATATGTTTGAGATATATGAACTAAACATTGAAAGAGGTAATTGGAAAACCTACTATAAGTTATCATTCAGGTAACGGTTGTCAAACACGCTTGGTTGCAACATATCTCATTCTTCAACCATTTTGTTACCACTCTGGAATACATTTCACGCTTTAACGACTTTGTTATAAGCCTGTAATACACCCAATAATTTCGTTACTTTGCTGTAGGCCTGTAATACACCCAATAATTTAGTTACTTTGCTGTAGGCCTGTAATACACCCAATAATTTAGTTACTTTGCTGTAGGCCTGTAATACACCCAATAATTTAGTTACTTTGCTGTAGGCCTGTAATACACCCAATAACTTAGTTACTTTGCTGTAAGCCTGTAATACACCCAATAATTTAGTTACTTTGCTGTAGGCCTGTAATACACCCAATAATTTAGTTACTTTGCTTTAGGCCTGTAATACACCCAATAATTTAGTTACTTTGCTGTAGGCCTGCAATATAACCCCCCAGACTTGAATCTCATACATAATACTGTTAGATAAACAACAATAAGTAACCTGATTATTATTTTCCAAATATACTGTGATAAAACTGAGACGAATATACTTTTGGATGCGATTGAAATAATACGATTTCAAGTAGAGAATAATATGTCATATTTCGCACACGCTGAGTGGCCCTAGACTTTATTTATTCGTGTCTAAGCGAAGTTACAAGTTTTCATATTTTATATAAATATTTCAGTTTGCTTATCTACTCAAACTCTACAATTAACAACCTCTAATGTGTTCTTGAGAGTATGGAAAGTATAAATTTTCATAAATAAGACCAAACTTTTAGTATTCTACACCACGGGTATCGAAACACGGATCCTAGCATTGTAAGTCCGCAGACATCCCCCCCCCCCCTGTGCCGCTGGGGAGCTCTATAAAGTAACCAAAACAGCACTTCCGAAGCACGAGGGCTAAATCAATTCCACTTAGGCATTTGCTATCCTTTAACTTCTATAAAAACTGACATTTGCAGCAATGAGCATTAGTTTTATTTTTACCTGGTGGAGAAGGTATAGAGAAGAAGATGGGATATTCGTTGCTGGTGTTTTTATCGTTGGTTGAATCGTGTTTTTATCAACAAAACAAGTAGTTTCTAAACCATGTGCAGTAATGCATCATTAAGTACAAATGTAACAAAAATTCTTGAAAATTAAATTATGTCTACCTATTTGTTTTCTATTTTATTCATATTATATATATCTGTTAGTTATCTACAATCAGCTGAACAATGTGTAAGTTTTTTTAGGGCAACTAGTGCGTGCAAGCTATACAAATGGTCCCCTGCCTAACTATGGTTATACGATACTTTAAAGGTGTCAAAACTTTCCGAGTCTTCATCTTGATTTTCTCTGAAATAAATGCTGACGTTCTCCGAGTTCCCGTTCGCAGAAGGTTAAGTATGTGTTAAGTCTGATAGTTTTGATAATAGAGCCAGCCGACTTGTCAAACTAGTGTAGTTCTTAAGTAGCGCTCTCTATCAAAGTTTAACATTACCATACAATGATGATATTTATCTACCTAGTTAGCTAGTGTCTTGGGCCAACACTCCAGTGTAAAGTCAAAAAAACAAATCACCGTAGTGCTTAGTGCCTTTCAACAAATATAAATCTCTCTTTAAGAAAAATAAAACTTTGTTTTTCACGTACGTTAAACTCATAAGGGGTTTTGTTTGTTTGTTTGTAGTTAAGCACAAAGCTACACAATGGGCTATCTGTGCTCTGCCTACCATGGGTATCGAAACCCGGTTTTTAGCGATGTAAGAGGCTAAATTCATGGGAAATTTTGCGGTCTCCAAAACTAAAAAACTGGGTTTACTAAATCTCGTTACCTTCATATCAAGGTGAAGCAGTTGTGTCCTGATACTAAGATGTTCTTTGTTCAAAACGGCTTTCGTCTGATTTTGTATATTTAAGTATTACGTAGGTAGTGAAGTGAGTTTGCAAGTGTTTTTTTTATGCTAATTAAAAACAAAATATAACATCGCATGCTCGTCATTTTCTAAAACTTAGCGCAAATTTATTAGCGTATTTCGAGTATTAAAATGACCTTGTTTGTCTGTCTGGATGTTTTGAAAAAGAACTGCAAGGAATATTAAAAAGGTTTTGTGTGTTTGTGCAATGTTAATGGCTTCTTCCGTTACACTTTATAAGTGGGTCATTTTTTCTCCTCGGGCATTTTGGTGAGCGTAAGACTGTCTTATTGGCTGCAGATAGCACTAAACTCTCAAATCAACCATCTTTGTAAAAACAGGAAGGAAAGAACCCCCTTAGCACCCCACTCATTCCGACCTAATCTTGACATCAGTGCATGCAAAGACCGTTATACAGACAAACGCTTCATTCTACAGTCGTCCTTCTTCCGTTCACAGCAGATGTCAGTTTCTTGGCGTTCTTTGTGATTTTACTCCTTACCACCAGGTGGTTCGTCTTGTGGCTAGCTTGCGTCTTTCCAGCAGTCTCTTCATCAGCTGCAACTGTTGCCGCCTCCCTTTGTGTTTTCTCCCCAGGCGGGTAAAAGGCTTAGAATATAAGCTTTGTGATAATCGGCCCATGGTGTAATAAATGATGGGGTGGGGGTATAGATATGTTAAAGATTGATGGATTTAGAAATTTCACAATTTCTGTTTTTGTTATGAGTTTTTTACTATTAATCTTTGGCATAAATTGTTCTTCTTGTGTTTCGACTAGCGGTTTTTTACGTTCATGTGTATGATTTTCTTATAGCAGTCACATCGGGCTATCTGCTGTGTCCACCGAGGGGAATCGAACCCCTGATTTTAGCGTTGTAAATCCGAAGACTTACCGCTGCCCTAGCGGGGAACTTTTACGTTCATATCTTGGTATTTGACATTTTTAACGTTATGTCACACGAGTTGGATGACCTTGTCAGAAACTCCAAGGTTCAGGCTTAACCTGTCTAAAATTCAGAACATCTGACCAATGTGAAGACAATCAGTCAGTAGAACCCACCACCTATAAGACTACAATCAACCAGATTGCGGGATTACTGTCACTTTTATAACGTCCATACAGCTGATATATAATGCTGATCAATGTGTCATTTTATTATCAGGTTATTCAAGGAGTGTATTAAAATTTCGCTTCATTTTATCTATTCAGTGTTTTAAAAGCTATAATACTTCGTTATTTTGGGAAATAAATATTCACAGAAGAAATGTATGGCTTGATTTCATTGTAGATTAGCTTTATATTCGTTACATAACCCTACTTTTATAGGAGACTGCTCAGTCAGAAGTATTATTTTATTTGTTATCCTTTATCCAAGTAATAGTTTACGTATGTTCCACTTTTTCCCTAGCGCATTAAACTTATACACAGTTTCTAGACGACAGAGATCGGTGATCATAAGAAGGAATCAACAGCTGTATACTCTTTCACGCGGAGCATTTTATGAGGTCATTTTTAACTTTGGATTAGTAGAACAAACTTTAACGACGAACCAGTACAAACCTCAAATAATCTGATCAAAACTTAAAAGTTTAAATAACATGTGGCTTTCATATCTATCAGTTTTTTAGACACGTTTTTCTAAATTATTTATGCATCAAATTGCACGTGAGCCCATGACTTTATTGAAACAGGGTCTCTAATAACTTATGAGTCACACATTTAAACAAAAATGCTGTCATTGTTACTTTTATCTTATTGATTACTGATACACACGTTACAATAGAAAACTAATCATCACCTTATTCTTTTTTTTGGTCTATTCTTTACACTGAGAATTGTAACAGCAAAACAATAAAAATAAATTCCTGAATATGATGCAATATGTGGCCTCCAATGGTATAGGACCGTATAAAAACAAAATGGTAATTTCATAGTTAACGAAAATCGTTGTTCAACAACAACAAAAAAAGTATCTTCGAAATTCATTTACAGGCGGTAATGATAAATTTGAATATTATAACCTTCTTCTTAAACACACATCTGTAGCCGTTAATACTTTTTACGTATTAGGGAGGGAGTTCGTAAAGTAGGCCATCTAAAACCGTAGAATTCAAACTTGTATGATGATTTTTGTTAAATAGTATTCAGTTAAGGAGGTTCTTGTTGCGTCGTATGATCATGTCATAACTCTATCTATATAACATCTTTTGTGTGCAATATTTCGACGTTATTAATTGGGGTTTGATTCCAGCTGTGGACACATTGCAGATAGCCCACTGTGTGTAACTTTACGCTAAAACAAATAGTTACTTAAGTGTAGATAGATTCCAGTGATATCGTGAATAACAGCGTGAGTTTAAATACAGGAGGAAATATAAATAGGTTTGAGATATGAACTTAGTTGATCTGAAGAGTATCAAATTAATCAAAATTACATTCCTCGTTCCAGTCTTTCTGGGCTAGTGAAATATGAAGTTGGTTAAGAACAGAATTTTTCAGTTAAATCAAGGCTAGCTTCAAACTACTTCCTTCAGTTAAATCTCTAACCTACTGGAATTGACAAGACGTGAAGTAATTTGGAACTACTTTTCTCAGTTAGTTTTCGTATGGAAATTGGAAAGTTTGATTTAAGTTGTACGTTTTTGTATTCCATAGTACTTCACGCATTTTTGTATGGCTATTCTTATTTATTTCGTTATCTAATTGAGAGTTTTATCTTATGGTTCACATATCTGTGTCTTTTTTCTTTCATTAGGTATGATCCCTGACCACCATCTTGGTCATTAATGAGTGGTACTTGAAAGATTCTTAAAAAAAGTGGAAACTGTATCAGTTACAGCTTGAAAGAGTAAGTAACACACTGTTGCAGTCCCTAATAAAAGCTGAAAGTTGCTGTCAATTTTATGAACCCAAGAATATAAGAAACAGACATACGAACAAAAATTGGTGATCAAAGAGACTCGAAGTTGACATTTAAGACATTTCGACAAACTGTCGTCGTCCACAAGTACATTTTGAAGTTACTCTTCTCGAAACAAGTACGAGTAAAAGAAGACTTACTGCAGGAAATACATTGAGGTAAGTTCTGTGTATATAATGTGATTGGTTTGCTGTTTATCTTTATTCCAAACTATGGCTTCAGGGTTTAAACAGGTAAGAAGAATCTTTTTCCTTCTCAAGTCTTAGACGTAGATTGGTTTGTGTAGTGAATGGATTTCCCATTTCATCTTACAACAGTTTTTACATGGAAATATTATCTCAAACCTCAACTGCCCGTTCGTTACCTGTTTGCAATGGTTATGTTTTAATAAATGTCAAAAGAACAGTTATACATATATATATGTCTGTATGTGTGTATATACATATATAAGTATATTAGCATACTAAAACGTATTGTTTTTGTTTCTATCTAGAAGATGTACTAGACCTTGTTTGCTGCTGCAAATTAGAAGTTTTATTTTAATGCACGAGCTGTTTGGAGATATGAACCTACTGAATGACGTAAGGGTTTCGTAGGGCAATGCAAAAGTTGTAAACATGTAGTATACACAAGATGTACTATAACATAATTCGTAAGCCAGAAATATAGCTTATCTAGCTAATATCCACACTTTAGATAAGCCAAACATCTGAATACATCTTTGCCTATATCAAGATTTGTATTAAAGTAGCTTTTCGGGTTCTATTGCTTTCCATGTTTCTCGATAAGCGGATTAATCAACGTTTCGTTTTGTGGTGAATTTTCCAGGAACTACGATACTCTTCCTGCCTTAATGTTTCTTACATGGCATTAAGTGGGGTTATATGTTAGTCCGTTTGACGTATTTCTGTCCAGTGTTTTGTCATACATAATGTGCCTCAAAGTAACTGTTTGTTTGTTTTTAATTTCGCGCAAAGCTACACGAGGGCTATCTGCGCTAGCCGTCCCTAAGTTAGCAGTGTAAGACTAGAGGGAGGGTAGCTAGTCATCACCACCCACCGCCAACTCTTGGGCTACTATTTTACCAACGAATAGTGGGATTTATCGCACATTATAACGCCCCCACGGCTGAAAGGGCGAGCATGTTTGGTGGGACGGGGATTCGAACCCGCGATCCTGTAACCACCTGGCGATGCCGGGCCGATCCTCAAAGTAATATGACTAAAATCAGAAGACAGGGTAGGTAGAGAAACTGTATAAAGGAAGAGGAAAAAGTATTTTTGGAACAAACATTTCAACAAAATAATTCTTATTACTTAGTGTTTCGGCCATGTGAACTTCGCTAGTGGACGGTCACCAAAACTACTGTGACGCAATTAATTGGAAAACGTCACAAAAGGCGTGCGTCATTTTTTTATATTAGACATTCACTTGGAGAGGGCCTCTTTGCTCAAAACCTGAGTGAGAATAAAATATGTTTGTATTATTGAGTTGAGCTCAATTACTTCTAAGAATAAAATTCATATCTAACATTAACCAGAATACATGAAAAGTTCATTCCGGCATTTTGATGACCGATTGTTTCTTTGTTTTAGAATTTTCGCACAAATCTACACAAGGGCTATATACGAATAGCCGTAAGAGCGTAAACTAGTGGGTTCTTGGGCTTAAGAAGAAGAAAGCGAAGATCGTTTTCTTTTAAGTTTTTCTTATTCTACGGCGTCCCTCGGTGGAACAGCGGTAAGTCTACGAACTTACAACGCTAAAATTCGAGGATCGATTCCACTCGGTGGACACAGCCGATAGCTCAATGTGGCTTTGCTTTAAAACAAACACACAAAATTACTTACGCTATGGCAAAATCAAAGATTTGACAGAAAGTTTGCCAACATTGTATAAAACCTATTTATGATCCCTACTTTACGTAATGCATTCGAGAGAAGAAAGAACCCCCCAAAATGGAAAACGTATTTACAGCTCTGAGACTTACTTAATTTTGAACTGAAAGACCAGAGAGAGGGTAGTTAGTCAGCAGCACCCACCGCCTACTCTTGGGCTACTCAGTGACTGGACAGTTCACATTCAAAAGTTACCGAAATGTCGGAATATAGTTTCTTTTGGCATTTGTGTTAGATGTCAATACTTCTAGTAAAAAAAAAAAAGATGTTTGAAGCGATTGGTTGTTTTTGTTGTCAGCGTTTTCTAGTTTATTGTTATTTTCAACAATGAACGCTTCATCCAACCGACTTGATCTTCATTATTCGTCAAATTTTGATTAAAACATTCTTCTCCCGAAATGATTGTCATTGGTTGTAGTTTCGGGTGAACGCTGTTAATTGGTTAAAAGGTAGAACATTGAGTTATATTATGGAACAACATTTTCCAGCTTTGACATCGTGTTTAGTGAACTTTGTTTTCGATATCTGCTTTCATCCAAATGAGCTACCTCACGATTACCTCATAGTCTAAAACTATGACATGTCATGTCTTATGACCGCTATCGTTGTGATTCAAGTTGCTTCGAGTCCTGACGTCATGGCGTAAATTTATATTGTATTGTTTGTTTGTTGAATTTCGCGCGAAGCTATCTATCTGCGTTAACCGTCCCTAATTTAGAAGTGATAGACTAGAAGGAAGGAAGGCAGCTAGTCAACGCTACAAACTCTTGGATTACTCTAATCGAATAGTGGGGTTGACCGTAACATTATAACTCTCTGACGACTAAAATGGCAAGCATGTTCGGTGATGGGATTCGAACTCGCGACTCCCAGATTGCAAGTCTATATCACCCTAACCACCAGACCATGTCAGGCCTTTGTTTTGAAGATCTTAAGATAAAGTTCGGCACGTTAACAATGTATTATAAAAACAAAAACACAATAACGCAAGAAACCACAATAGAAGTAAGTACTCTGAAACGTGATATAACGATATATGTTTCATTGTCTTTCACAAGAATTCTCCAAGGCTAAAAACATGTTGCACTTTGAAACACATTGTACTAAATATCTTCAGTACAGCTTAATGCGCCTCTTATTTGGTTTTGAAAGATTTTATAATCTGTTCATTCAGTGAATAATCCTATTAGTACTTTTTACATAATGGGATGTCATTAAATAAAATCCAGTGTTTTTAAATTTCTAGATGGGTCAGTTGTAACTTTAAGGATTTACAACGCTAAAAACTCAGGGTTTGTTCCCCACAATGTGCAGAACGCAGATAGCACATTGTGCAGTCTTTGCTAAGAAAACAAAAGACAAACAATAAATTTCCTAGGCAATTTTCCCCTCGAACCAATGGATTTGTGTGAAGCATTTTAAGTGTAATTTTGTCTACATGTTTTTAATTGAACTTTCTTTTAAAAACGTGATAATTATAATATAAAGAAATTATCAGGTGTAAACCTTTTCTTTTGAGTTTTTCTTACTCTATGGTGTTCCCCGGTGGGATAGCGGTAGGTTTACGAAGTTACAGCGCTAAAATCCGGGGTTTGATTCCCCTCGGTGGATACACCAGATATCTTTGCTTTAAAACAAACAAACTTCCTTCGCTATTTCAGAATCAACGTCACAAGAAGGGTAGAAAATGTTTATGATAATCATTTGATAAGGATTTTTATAAAAAGACGTTACCTAAATTTATTCAAGACTAACTTTGATCGAAATGATACTAAATCATAGATGAGCGCTTAGGATTTTGTTCGTTACACTACTGAACTTAAAGGTTTCAACAAAACCATCTTTAACGCGAAGTTACGCACAAAATATTTATTTGTCGTTGTTGTTTATCAGTGCAAAGCGACACAATAGGTTATCTGCGCTCTTGTCAACTGCGGAGAATCGAACCCCGTATTTTAGCGTTGTAAGTACGTAAGTTTACCGCTGAGCCAACGGGGACAAATGTTGAGTTTTAAACTTACTTGCGTAGTTGAAAACCAGAGTTTGAGCAATAGTATTTACTTTTTGTTAATTTATCTTGTTTATCGTGTAGTGAAGAGTTGAAGTTTTACGCCATTTTCTGGTTTCTCAGTTGTTATTTTGAGTGTTACATTAATTGCTTTAGTAAATTAATTAGATTAAGTAAACAGTACTCACGTGTTTAGTAGGTTTGGGTGTTGATTTTAAAATCCGAATGAACGTAAATGACAAACAACGTGACATATCCAAGTATTTCACGAAATTACTACCAAGTAAGAGGGTGGGGAAGGGGGTGGTCAGTTTGATCAGGTGCTCTCATTGTGCCTCATACAACCTCAGTTATACAGTATTGGAGGAAGAAAAAAGCTTAAAACTGGTCCTGTACGTCGAGAGTTTTTGTGTTGCTTTTTTTACATTTTTTAAAAAATATTTTTGATATTTTTAGTATCTTCAGATTAAACTCATTCTTATCTATTCCTTTAAGTTTGCTTATAGCTTTGTTTTTACTTAAAGAACAGTTGGAAAACGGCTAAATATGTACTGGTAGAGATTAGATCTAATTATGTAGTCTATTACCTTATATTTACAGTGTAAAATAATTTAGTTTGTATCTATTTGCCTTCTTTTAATTTTCGCAATATGTTTTCTAGAAATGCGTGATACTGCAGCTCAGTGTGAAAACACAAAACAGTACTTCTGCTCTTAGAAAATTCTGATGAAACTGATGCTAATTTTTAGCTGTGTGGATATCTGTCGTAAAGTAATATATGTAATCGAGCTAATGCTCTAATCCCAAGACAGAGAAGGGAATTGTAACAGTTTCGATTTTAATAAAGAGACGCTGGCTTGACAAGCTTCCACTTATTTTTTTGTTTTTCGAATTTCTGAAAGTAATCAACAGTGTAAATCTGTTGAGTGTCTTAACTACACTTTTGTCCTTGCTAACGTACAATAATAGCTCGTGAGGTTAAAGTGTCTCTAATGGATACTTATTCCACCAGCCTTTAGCTAAGTAGTGTACTAAATGTATACGTTATGTGCAAATACCAAACCTTGAATTAAAGAATTTGCACTTATTCCTCACCCATTGAACGACGCCGGTTAAAGAATTTTTTTTTTACTGAGATAGTTACCTAAGTTTTAATAAATTCGAAATGAACTTTTATATAAAAAGAGGTTAAATATCCACGAAACCCAATTAATTTAGACTATTATAGTATCTTTTCCAAACATTTCTAAAA